TCTGGGTTCAAAATACAGAACAGGTGGGAAGGCTTTGTAGCCTTGTATTCGTCGTCTTCTAATGACCCCATAATCCCTTGTGGGGTGGAGTCTGAGCAAATGAACGGAGCAGAGTGTTTACTGGCTGGATGCCTTTCCTGTCCCCAGTGCGGAGTTTTGTTCAGCAGAGAGATTCTCATCATGCCCAGAGAAAGAAATATCTGCCTCTACGTAGGGTCGAACTCCCAGCCTCCTGATTGGGGGGCGAGAGCTCCACCTCTAAGCCACCAACTCCTTGGAGATCTTGCAGTACAACCCCCTACTTAAGCAGAACCTATGTGCCATTCTGGATAATGGGCTGTCCAGTCTCTTCTCGAAAACCTCCAGTGATGGGAGCACCCACAATTCCTAGAGGCAGGCCGTTCCACTGGTTAAACGTTCTCATTTTCAGGAAATTTCTCCTTAATTCTAGGTTGGATCTCTCTTTGATAATCCTGCTTTTAGGGGCTTTGGAAAACAGCTTGACCCCCTTCTTCTCTGTGGCAGCCCCTCAAAATATCGGAAGACAGCTATCATGCCCCCCCCACCCAGCCCATCTCTTCATTCGACACACCCAATTCCTGCAACCGTTCTTCGTTACGTTTCAGCCTCCGGCCCCCCTCTTATCACCCTTTGCTACTCTTCTCTGCGCTCCTTCTAGAACCTCAACGTCTTTTTTCTTCCGTAAGAGATGGTGAACCACGCTTTGCGCCCTGGACATCAGAACGTCTGGATTTTGTTATCGGGGGGCCGGAAAGAAAAAGCCAGCCAGCTGCGGGGACCGGTTGGCAACTAACACGAATTGGGTCGAGCAAAAGTTACCTTGGTGGTGTCGGCATGCTTGTTCTGAAGCTGTTCCAGGTACAGCTCGTTCACCTCTCCAAGCACCAGCAGCTGTCTGTTCAAAAACTCCATCTGCTGCTGCACAGACTCGCTGTTGGAAAGCTGGATGGGGGAGAAAATATTTAAGGCGTCTCTCTGAAGACCTTCCACTGATTAACTGGCCTATCTGGGAATTTCTCCTTAGTTCCCGGTTGCTTCTCTCCTTCATTTGTTCCCACCCGTGGCTTCTTGTCCTGCCTCTCAGGGGCTCTGGAGAATAGCTTGACTGCCTCTTCTTTGGGGCAGCCCCTGAGATATTGGAATACACTGCTATCGTGTCTCCCCAAGTCCTTCTTTTCATCAGGCTAGACACACCCGGTTCCTGCAAACATTCTTGATACGTTTTCGCTTCCATCCCCCTAATCATCTTTGTGGCTCCTTCTCTGCGCTCTTTCTAGAGTCTCTACAGCTTTTTTACACCGTGGCGACCAAAACCGGATGCGGTGTCCTAGGTGTGTTCTTACTAAGATGCCCCAACGTTTTCAGAAGTGGATTGTCATGGCTTTTCTTTTCTTTTCTGAAGCTGAGAGAGATGGACCAGGCGTCCCTTGTGGTTCCCCCAACCCCGCAAACAACTTCTAAACAATCCACTACCAAAGCCAGAGAGCGTAAGAACACAAAGCGCTTAACTCGCTCCGAGAACCTCAAACTTCCAGACTAAACCGCCCCCCCCAAAAAAGAACGGGGATCCTGACCAAGGCGTACCACCTGTTCCATGGGTTCCTATTTGTTTGTTTTTAAGGGTGCACAAAGGGCAAGGACCCACCCTCTTCTCCCCCCCCCATGGAAATTAGGCGGCCTCGAGTTCCTGAGAGGAAAAGCAGGAAACCTGGAAGCAGCCGGGGCTCTTTTTACCTTCTGTGAAACTTGGCTCAGCAGCAATTCTGTGTGGCACACCTTGTTGTTGGATTTCTTCAGCTCAGACCGCAGATCTCGGATTACGTTGGAGCAATCTTCCAGTTTGGTCTGGTTAAGCAATAAAAGGGCGTCCATTTGTCCAGTTTTTGCAAGGATCCCAGTCGTAATTCAATCATTTATATCCAGCCTTTTATTATTTTTAGAATAACGTTCAAGCAGGCAAATGCACGCTATTCTCTGCCCTCCTATTTTCCCCGTAACTGCCACCCTCCGGTGAGGTGGGATGGGCAGAGAGAGAGAGAGAGAGACTGGCCCGAAGTCAGCCAGCCAGCTTCCACGCCTGAGTTGGGACTAGAACTCCCAGTCTCCTGGCGATTGGCCCAGGGTCAGCCCAGCTGGCTTTCTTAGCTAAGGAGGGACTTGAACTCACGATCTCTTGCTTTCTGGCTTGGTGCCCTAAGCGCTGGACCCAAGTGGGGTGATTCCAGTGGGGTGACTGTGTTTTCTAGAACACCCGGATTTGGGGGAGGGGTGGGGTGCGGGTTTTCTGGAAGGGCAGAAGGAATCCCCTGAGAAAACCCCCCCGTGAAGGTCCAGCTAAGATCGTTACCTTCATCTCCTGGCTCTGGTTGTAATACTCCTCTCGTTCCTGCTGAAGCTGCCGGATCTGGCTGTGGAGCTGAGCCACCATGCCGTCATATTCTTCCTGGAACCGGCGGTGTTTGGCCTGCTCCTTCTGAAGGCTGAGCTTCAGGGCCTGGATGTCCTTCTCCTGGAGGCGCAGCTGGTCTTTCTGTCCAGAGGGAAGAGGTCAGGAGTCAAAGGTCGCACACCCTGCCCACCTCGGCCCACCCTTGTGCTTATTCGCAGGGAAACAATTTATTGGGCTGTTTGGAGCAGGACTCCCGAAGACCCTGGCTTATCTCATCTATCAAAGGTCTCTGTTGCCCACCTCAAGATAGGATGGATGGGTGGATATTTTCTTGAAATAGACAGACATACACAGAGATAGATAGTTAGATGATAGATAGATGATAGACAGATGATCGATAAGACAGAGAAAGAGAGAGAGAGAGAGAGAGAGAGGCAGGCAGGCAGATGAAAGGGGCAAACAGACAGGATGAATGAATAAAAGAGATGGATGGATGTTGAAATGGATGGATAATTGAATAGATGATAAAGAGAAAGAGAGAGAGAGAGAGATGATATGGATAAAGAGTATGATGGACGGATGGATAAATAGATGTTAGTGGTAGAAGGGATGGATGGATGTAGACAGGGACAGAAGAGATGGATAGATGAAAGACATGGAGATGGATGGACAGAAGGAATCGGTAGATGGATAAGAGACATGGATGGTTGGATCTAAATCTTCCCCCGCCCCCAGGAATCACGCAGGGCAATGGCTCCACCCCCCCACCCCCCCCAGGGGAAGCGCCACAGAAGGCCCAGAGGCTGCCCCTCTGCTGGGCAGGAGGAGATGCCCAGCTGGCTCACCATGGCCGCGTTGTGTTCCTCGAGGGCGGCCGCTTTGATCACTTTCCGCAGGAGGCGCCTGTTCCGGACCGCATGCTGCTGCCTCTTGAAGCGCTCGTACAGCAGCTGGTTATGCAGCAGCTGCAGCTGATTCTGGAGGGTGTGAATCTCGTCGGAAGGAGGGGAACCTGCAGGGAGCGGCACGGGGAAAAGGTGGCGCTGAAAACACAGGAGAATCATGCTCTCCAGGAGTAATCTTGTGCGCCAGAAGCTTCGGTCGCCTAGAAATTATCTATGACATATTTAAGGAATGCACTGCTTCCCCCCCCCACTCCCTTTCTGGTGGAAACTCTAAAAGACTTTTAAATATTTTTGAGTTGACACCGGGGTTTCTCCACCTTGGCCGCTTGAAGCTGGGTGGGCTTCCACTCCCAGAATACGCCCAGCATGTTTGTAACCTGACCTGCAGGTAGGGCTCCAATTAGGAATTAAGAAATTGGGGGTTAACCCAGAAGGAAGCACAGCAACCTGAAGGCCAAGACCATCAATTTCTGAGATCCTAAGTTGAAAAATTTCGCTCACCTCCAAAATGAGTCCAATCGGCGGATCTGCTGGGCAACGATAACCTGGAAATGAGAATATATATCTATATATCTATATATATCTCTCTCTCTCAGCTGCTCTCTGAAGTCTTGGACCATTGGTGGAAATCCACTGGAGATTTTATCTCGGGTGGGAAAGGACCAATGGATAGGTGTAAGGTTCGCTGTTGGGCACAGGTAAAGGTTTCCCTCACACATCCAGGCTAGGTAAGCCCTGGACTTACAACAGTTCGATTTAGTGACCATTCAAAGTTGCCGTGGCACTGAAAAATTTGACTTATGACCATTTTTCAGAGTCACGACCTTGGAGGCAGCCTCCCTGGGATCCCGTGAACAAATCCAGTCACTTGGCAATCGGTTCCTCTCTTTACGACCGTTGCTGTGTCCCACAATCACGCGATTCGCTTCTGCGACCTCCCGACAAGACAAGCCAACAGGGGAAGCCAGATTCACTTAACCGCGTTACTAACTTAACGACCGCGGTTGTGCGCTTAAACAAGCATGGCCGCAAAGGCGGTGAAATGGGGGGGCGGAGCTCGCTTAACAGCAAGCGGTTTCCCAGACACTGGGTTGAAAAGGCTGGTATGATTATGAATTTGTGGTCACGGGATTGCAAATGGCCGTCAACGCAGGTCAGTCGCGAAGCCGGCTGATTGTCCGGAGCGACTCCGGCAAAGCCACGAGCCACTTACTTGCTGAGTTCCCTGCTGTGAACATCCGCCCCGTGTTGAAGCAGCCGGTCTAAGACATGCAAAGGGGACGCAGAAAGGAAGCCGCCGTCGTCCAGTCCCCCCTGGCATTTTTTCAGCAGCTCTTCCGTCTTCCGGCTGACAAACAGGTAGGCCGTTTTAGGTAGTGCCACTTCAAACAGGTGCTCGTATCCAGGGAGCTGCTGGCTCCCAAAGCCAGGCCTCTGGCGAGCGGGGATTTTGCAAGGGCTGGGGGTCCAGAGGCCCGGATCTGGGGAGGCCCACAGTTCCTGGACTCCCACGGGAATCTCTTCGGCATCCCGGCAGGGCCGCTCGATGGGCGTGAAGGCTTGCTTCGGAGTATCCCGCGGGCCTTCGAGCCCGGAAAGGTCCAGGAAAGAGGCCGAAGGCTCGGCATTCGAACACGGCCCCGCGGCGGTTGAAGCGACCGACTGAGATTTCCGAGAGCCAGAGAGATTCTCGCTGGATTGGTAGAACGGAGAATCGAATCCGCCCCTCGGCACTATGGGCTCGGCCTCCGTGGCGGTGATCTCGGAGATTTCGTTTGAGATGGCTTCTGGAGAAAAGGAGGAATAATTGTCACACCCGCCAGAGTCTGAATCCAAAACAGCTGACATGGAAGCGGGGGAAGTGGCCCCGTTGGCTGTGGAAGAAACTGGGGAAGGGCAGAGCAAGGGAGAGGTAGAACAAGGGAGAGGGGATTCAAAGAAAGACCCAGGCCCACCCCCTCTTCATCCTAGGGCACACAGGAAGGAACGGAGAAGAGAGCAACGCGGGTTGCATGGCTTAGGAGGGAGGAAAGGGCCCTGATTCCCTTCACGAGGCACACCTGGGAAGGGACTTTGAAGGAGAACCAATTGGGAGGGGCATTAGTTGGGAACAAATGCTGAGTTTATCTAGTGTTGGCTGCTGTTATCTTGAGTTCCTGGCGGATTTATTACATTATCTTGCTTTGTTGGGTTTATAGTTTTAAGCTTTTCTGTTTACACCATTTTGGATTGGAATATCTGCAGCCAAAGGCTGTTGCAGGTTCCTGGGAGAGTTTTTCTCCAGACCAGAAGGTAACCGGCACATTGGGAGCAAAGTTGGAGCTAATAAAAGGACCTCTGCTTATTATCTGGCTATGTTGCCTTTGTGCCACGCCCTGGGTCATCACAATAATATTGTGTTTATTGAGGCCTGATCCTGTCTCCTTCGGAAGGACAGAAAGTGCAGCTGATGTTCAAAGCAACCACATATATTCACCTTCTTCTCGGTCTTTCTCTCCGCTGTCTTCGCATGAGGCCTCCAGATTATCTAGGATGTTGGGCAGGTCGCTTAAAGTTACAGAATTTTTACTGCCTTGGGAGTCTGGATAGACAAGGTCAAAAAAAAAAAAAAAAAAAAAGGAGAAAACGTAAAAGGAAATTCAATATTACTTTACTAATACAACTATGTTCAGTCAGCCCTTTCCCCCATGCCAAAAGTTTGCTCCAGACTTGCTCCAACTGCTATCAAAAAGTAGGTAAAACTCAACTACAAGCAGTCCTCGACTTATGGCCATAATGGAACCTCCCCATTGCGGTCATAAATTGAGGACTATCTGTATGAGAGACCCTGACAAGAAAGCTCAGAGTTCTGGTTTGTTCCCTTCTCAAGGAACCCAACACTGAAAGCCAAGATGAGACTACAGATAAGTGCTCGACTTACGACCGCAATTGAGACCAACACTTCCGCTGCTAAGTGAGACATTGGTTAAGTGAGTTTGCCCCCCCCCCCCATTTTATGACCTTAAGTGAATCACTGAAATTTAAGCTAGGAACACGGTTGTTAAGTGAACTTCTCACTTCTCGAGAGGAGAGGCTCAAAGGGACAGTCTGGGTCTGAAGACGTTTACTGTGCAAATTTGGTCAATAATAATGAAAACATACAGGGGGGAAAAAGTGGTGGTGGGGAATTATTTAGCACGAAAACTCACCTAAAGTTCTGATATTTTGCTGTCGGGACAGAAAAGGCCTCGTGGGATCTGCTTTTTCCTCCTGGAGGGGGGAGAATGAGGATTTAATTCAAATTTTAACTGCAGAGACAGGCACTTTTAACTGCACCCTCCTTTCCAAGAGATGGAATTCAACTTCCAGAACTCCCCTCCCCAGCCTGCCTGGCTACCGCAGAGGATTCTGGGATTGAAATCTGCCCACCTGGAGGATGGGTCCTGGCAGGGAAAAGCTGATTTGGGCTCTTAACTGAAGGTGGGAATCAAGTCAGGTGGGAAGAATTATTGCGCTTAAACTTTCCTCTACAGGTAGGTCCTCGACTTATAGGACCACAACTGAGGCCGAAGTTTCCGGTGGCTGAGTGAAACAGTTGTTAGGTTTTACAACCTTTCTTGCCACCGTTGTTTATGCGAATCACTGCAGTTGTTAAATAACACGCGTTGTTTTAGTGAATCTGGCTCCCCCATGGACTTGGCTTGCAAAAGGGGATCGCGTCATAAACGTTGGTTCCGCTGCCACGCCCCTGGACTCTGATCACATGACCAAGCAGCTGTTGCAACGGTCATAAGTGTGAAAAACAAGTCACTTGGAAATCGAAAGCGCATTCCAGAAATAGTTTTTCAAAGATAGCAACTAGGTGACTGAAGTTTCTGCCATGCAAATTTAACTGGAGAACATGACTGATGACTCTGGACTATGGAGGTATCCCATTGGAGAATATGAATTACGACACACCCAGGGGATGCAGGGGGGAAAACCAGGGTCAAGGGTGACAATGAATGATGTGCCTCAAGAGTCGGCTACACCCAGGCAGTGCCGGACATGTTAACTCCCAATAAATCCTTTGGAAGTTTTGGGAGTTTGGCTGGAGAGTCACGATTTAATTGGGGGTGACTGCTGGAATCCTGACAGTGAGCCAACTCTCATAATTAACACCTGGCGCTGGGATACCCCGCTCGTAACGGTAGCTTTTACCTTCTTTGAAGGTGCAGCAGTGGTTGCAGGAACTGAACTCGGAACCGAATCGTCTGAAATGGCAGAAGAGAAGAGAGATCGAAGGCTGCCCCTGTTGGGACATTTCCTTTCTCCAACAGCTCAACAGGGGATTTTCAACCAAGTTTAGCAAACTTTAGCAAAAAAAGAACCAAACACAGACAAGCCCTTTGGCTTCCAAGCTCTTATGATTACTATTTTTTTCTTAAAGAAAAGAAGAATAAAATTCGCCCAAGGAGTCAGGCGGTCAGCAAAGCACATTCTAAGAAAAACCATTTTTTTTTGCCAAGGAGACCTTTGACTTGACACTTTCTCCCCTGGAATAAGAGAAAGCGGGGACCCTTTTGTGGACGCACCTATCACACCCCACGTTGCCGCCTTCTGAATGGCATCCATCCTTCCTTAAAATGGCCCTTACGACCCAAAAATTGAGCCCAAGGTTTCTGTTGCTAAGCGAGGACATCTATTCAGCGAGCTTTGAAAAACGAGGTCGTAGCTCGCTTTTCTCAGTGCCATGGCAACTTGGAACGGTCACTAAATGAACTGCTGTAAGTTGGGGCACTACCTGTGCTCGGCTTCAGCTTCTTAAGCCCCTTTCCCCCCCCAGAATAAATGTCCAAGTATACCAGAGGGGTAACCTGAGGCCCCCCCCCGTCCAAGATTTCATGCCTGGGGCGGGGCGGAGGGATTGGGGGGAAAGGCCATACGTCGTACCGGCTGCGCTGAAGAACTTGCTGCAAGGCTGGGAAGAAGTTTGCAAAGACTCCAGAACGAGGCCGGGAGAAGTTGGAGGGGTGGTCATGCCACAAACAGCAGAGGGGCTCCAGAAAGACGCCTGAGAAACAAACCAGAGGGTTTCTGGTTACTCCAGAGGAGGAGGAGGAGGAGGAGGAGGAGGAGGAGGAGGAGGAGGAGGAAGAAAAAAATGGCTTCTTGTAGCAATCTTGAGCTTCCCCCCACAATGCTCCCTTGTCCGAGGTTAACCATGGGTGGAAACCATGGTTATTAATCCACCTACAACTTCTGTAATCCTGTGCCAATCCCAACACTGGAGAACCACCTGGGTTATTAGGATGGTTGTGATGATGTCATCCATTCAGTCGTGTCGGACTCTTGACCGATTCTGCCAAGTCTATTAATTTACTTGGGATGATATGGAAATTCAACACATGGGCATCCGTGCGGGTTTGGAATAGAATAGAATAGCAGAGTTGGGGGGGAATCTTGGAGGTCTTCTAGTCCAGCCCCCGGCCTAGCCAGGAAACCCTACACCGCTTTAGACAAAGGGTCGATCCAATCTTTTATTAAAAAGACCTCCCGTGTTGGAGCATTCACAACTTCCGAAGCCAAGTGGTTCCACTGATTAATTGCTGTCACTGTCAGGAAATTAGCTCTGGGTTGCTTCTCTCTTAGATGAGTTCCCAGCTGTTGCTCCTTGTTCTGCCCTCAGGGGCTTTGGAGAATAGCTCGACTCCCTCTTCTATTGAACAGGGTGATTTAACAGAATAACGGAGTTGGAAAGGGACTTTGGAGGTCTTCTAGTCCAACCCCCCCTGCCACACCTTGCTCTTCTTCAAACTTCCACGGCAAAGAAGGCAGATTAAAATAGTCCCAAGAGCCCACTTGGTAAAAAAAAACAACCCGAGGAGGACCCTCCACAAAGGCACGATTTCAACTTTGTCCCCCGAGACTACAAATCTCGCCCTCTTACCTGCTGAGGCTCAGTGGACAAACTTGAGGGCTGGGGGGTCAGGATGTGAGGTAGATGCCCTGGTATCTGGGAGAGGACCAGCCGAGAAGCAGAGTAAGGGGTAGACGTTGAGGGTCCTGCGGCTGAAAGGACAGAAAAGAAAAACCAGGACGTTGAGCTTCAGCCGGTTCCCCCCACTGATTTTGCTACGCCCTACAACAGTTGTACGTGCAAGGACTGGGTGCAAGTTATTTTGTTCGTCCCCGAGCGTGAGTGAGTAGTTGGCCTAATGCGAGAAATATTCAACAGAAGAGAACCGGCGTAGCTCAGGGTTGAACTGTGGAGTCCTTGGTGCTCTCTGAGCTGGATGGTTTCCTTGCAGACGTTTCATGACCTAACTAGGGAACGTCATCAGTGTCGGGTGAGCGTGGGGTTTGCTCGCTTTTTATATACAGGTCAGCGGGGATTTGCACCAGAGAAACCACCAAGCAGAAGCCAACACTCCAATCAAGGAACTACCAAGAAGATAATCACACACACACACACACACCTTCCTCACTTAACAGGAAGCAAACCTCACACTCGTTAGCACTGAGGGTGTTATCTAGTTGGGTTAACGAGACGTCGGCAAGAAAACAACCCAGCTCAGAGAGCCCCAAGGACCCCAAATTCTCCACTCTCCCCCTCCACTCTCTGACCCCGCTCCCTTCTAGCACTGATGAGGTTACCTAGTTGAGTCATGAAACGCCTGCAATAAAACCACCAAGCTCAGATAGCGCCAAGGACACCACGGTCATTGTCCTTCTCCTCTTCTTCTCTTCCTCCTCTTCTTCCACCTCCTCTTCTCCCCCTTTCTCCTTCTCCACCACTCCACAAACCCCACTCCCTCCTAGCATTGACGAGGTTGTGTAGTTGGGTTAATAAGACATCTGCAGGAGAACCACCACGCTCCAACAGCGCCAAGGACCCCGCCGTCCTTCTCTACGGGAAACCTTTAGCAGTTAATACATTTGGGAGGGTTGAAGCATCTTACCCAGGCTATTGGGGGGAATCGGGTAAGGGGTGGCGTCGGGGTCGGCGGGGCGAAGCGACTGGTGCGTGCAGGCTTGTAGGGCAGCCGGGCAGTAGCCGTCTTCGTAGGATGCTTCCGCTGGATCCAGGGAGATCTTGGCACATTCGATCACGACGTCGTGCGTTTCTAGCCTCTTCCACCTGTCGGAGGCACAAGCACCTGCCCGTTCTCACCTGCTCTGAGGCTCCCCACTTCAGAATGCTTCCCTGCCGTCCGAACGATGAGGGCGTCCGTAATCAGAGAGGGGAGCGTACGTACCTCCGAGGATCCAGCTCGTGGTCCTTGGAACCGGTCACCAACTCCGGGTGGATACGGACGTGGCCCATCATTGGCTGAAAGGACAGCAAAGGGGAGGGGGGGGGGGGGTCTCATAACGGGGACAAAGGCAGGTGCGCACAGCTCAGCACTACGAGGGAGGGAGGAGGCCGACATTTCGGTTTGATCACAGGTCAGGATGGAACAATCCAACCCAACCATAAGCTCCTTCCCAACGTTCAAGAAGGGATCTGGTTTCCAGAGACTTGACCCAGAGCAGGACACTCACAAGACACACTCAGCTCCAAAACCGGCCCATTTCACTCTAGTGTGGTACTGACACTGACTCCGAAAGGGAATCCTTCCCTGTTCCACTTGGAGAGCTTTAGATCTTCTGCAGGAAACATCCCAAGTTTTTCCTTAAATTTCATCTGATCCAATGGACGCGGTGGACCTCCGCTCTGTTCCCTCCTAGCCAGGGATGGGCTGCTGGGTGGGGCTCAGGAGAGCCCCCAACTAAGACTCTACGGGGCTCAGAGAGCCCCCAATAACCTCCGAAAGACAAGCAGCCAGGGAAGGCTCTTAATAGGCTTAATTGAACTTCTGGGCGTTCAGCCGAGAGCATTTCACACCTGGTAAAAGTCTTGCAAGCTAGATAAACAATCCACTTAGTGCTTGCAGGGAGAGCCATTGAGAAAATCAGATCACGTAGCCCCTAACCTCCAAGCGGATTAATTCCCAAATAATAAGAATCACGTAACTCACCAGAAACTCCACTAAGACTCCAAGATCCCTCTCACAGTCACCACTATTAAGCCTGGTTTCACCCAGTCTTTCAATTAAGTCTTAAAGGCACGAAATAATAAACAACTTTGGGGTATATTATCTTTTTTTTAGGTAATTAGGGCAAAGAAGCAACGTTGAGTTGGCCACACCCACCCAGTCACATGACCACACAGCCACGCCCAGCCAGCCAGTCGTTAGGGCAGAGAGCCCCTTGCTAAAAAAACTTGAAGCCCAGCCCTGCTCCTAGCTTTCTTTTAAGGAAGTTCTCCTCCTAAGCTAGCTAGGAGGCCTCGACCCCTCTGGTTACCTTGACCACCTCTTCAAAGGTCTCCAGGTTTTCCTTCATGCTGTAATGGGAGCGCAGAAAGGAGACAAAATTGCACGGGTACATTCCATAAAGGCGATGAAAGAGGGCGTACACGCTAGCGTGGAGGTGGACCAGGTAGATCTCTGCCACGTGGCCTGGGGAGAAAGCCAACATCAGAGGAGCCTGGTTATCTGCACCTTTGGAACTGTCCGGTTTGGCTCTGCAACCCAACAAGACGCAGACTTCGGGGGATAATTAGGACTGCAGAGAAAACAATTCCTACCAACCTGCCTTCCATCGAGGACCCGTATGCTGCATGAGTCAACAAGAGGGCTGTGAAAATATCCACAGACCCCTCACATCTTGGACATAAACTGGGGGGGCTTGTGCTTGTTGAGGGTTACCTGTACCTGTACATGACTTACCCGTGACAATACCCCAAGGAAGCACTTAATAATATTCAGTGGGAGATGGATGGGTGATGGGCCAGCATTCTACCTAAAACCAGAGATTATTTCCCCCTAACTGGGACCAACGGAACCAGAGCCGCCTGGAACATCTCACCTGGGTTCTTCAGGTACCAAGATGAAAGGCGGCCGAAGATGCCAAAAAAGTCGTGAAGGTACTGCTTCCCAGACTGAGGGATCATGGGGAGCAACGTGATTAACACCAGCACCCCCGTAGTGAGGACTACGACGTCGGTGTCAGTCTGCCATAAAAGGGAAAGCAAGATTTTTTTGGAGGGCTCCACTGTCACCAGGGAAAACGACAGTCTGCTGATTGATAATGTCGGGCTGGAGCAGCTGAAATTTCCCATTTCAAACGTCCTTCCACAGCCGATTTTTGGAAAGCTTACAAAAACGCTTCAAGGTCTAGATGGCCATGGAGATTCTCAGTCATCTATCAAGTCAGGCCTGTCCCAAAGGTGCTTTTTTTATTCAAGCGGCAACTGGTCTTTCTTGGGTTTTTCCTTGAAGACGCTTCGCTTCTCATCCAAGAAGTTTCTTCAGCTCTCAGAGAAGCGAAATTGGACGAGAAGGGAAACAAGGAAGTCCAGTTGCCTCTTGAAAAAGCAACCTTTGGTTCAAGGTCTGGAATTAATAGGCAGCTGATACATCTAGGATGGCCAAGGAAGGATGAGTTTGGAATAAGCTACTTTAAAAACATAATGGCACACATTTGCGATTTAATACATGTAATAGATTTAACAGAACTGCTGACAGTGGGCAGAATTAGCCCGCAGTGCTGCATTCTAACCAGCCCGCCAGCAGGGCTGTTCAGAAAAGCTACCTATGCGTCCACTCAGAGCCAACACTGACTTGGTAATGAACAGATCGAGGCCCCTAGTTCCAACAATGCACCCAGGCGCTTCCTTTGGCAGTGCTTCCCTCTGTTATCCCACCCCCCGTCCCTATCAGCCACCAAACGTGGTCAGTGAGCTTCGTAACGGCATCAAGCCCTTACCTTGAGACACTTGAGGAGGGAAAGGAGAACGGGGGCCTGAGGCAGCTTATGTTTCCAGGAGGGCTGACTTCTAATCACGTGGCCAAGGAGCGAAAGAGTGGCGAGACGGGTGGAGGGCTTGCTCATGTATTCATTGATTTTATCGAGAAGGTGCTGGGGGCAGATTTTAAAAAAACAAAAGGGGAATGAATTGAAAGCATGGACCCCAGGCAAAAAAACAGGGAGCGCTAGAAGAGGCGGCCATCCTGGAGGAGGAAACGATTTGGGGCTGTTGAGGATGTGAGCTGAACCCAACATGGCTTATTCCTTGCACCAGCCCTCCCATCGCCTGGATGTCAATTGTTCTCCTCGCTTTACCTTGTCATGTGGCTCTTGGACAGCAGTCAGGATGTGCAAAGCTTGTTGGGAGCTGGTTTCCAAGTAGTAATCCACCAAAGAATTCACCAGCATGGGCCCACGATCTGTGGCAATCCAGACAGAGCGACAACAAAAACTCAAATCAACTTGCACAAGAATGACTCAGTTCGTTCAGCAGCCGCGTAGACACCTTGCAATACTTTTATCAAAAAATAAAATAAAATAAGGCAGAGAACATATCCGACACGACTTCCTCCGCTTATTTTCCCAACAACCACCCTGTGAGGTGGGTTGGGCTGAAAGAAGAGCGGTCGGCCCAAAGCCACCAAGTTGGCTTTCATGCCCGAGGCGGGACTAGAACTCACATTTTCTACTTGTGATTTAAGCCACCTGGAACAAAAGGCAAGGGAGCTCCAGCATCACAACCCACCTGAAGCCAAGTTGTCTCTAAACACAGCCATGATATCTTCCAGGACAGCCAGGACTGGAGAATCTAGCATGGGGAGAAGATCGCCAATATTGGTTTGCTGAGACATCCTGCTTCACGCTAGGCGCTAACGGGCATGACACGTGTGTCCACGCAAGGCACGGTTGCTTCCAGTTCTACATGGGTGCTCCTGTCAAACTAGGCGAAGAGAAAACATAGATTTTGGAAAAGGGCCTCTAATGGTTGTTAAGTGAATCTGGCTCTCCCCCCCAAATTGACTTTGTCAGGTGGTCACAAAAGGGGAAATTACACAACCCCGGGACACTGCAACGGTCATAAATGTGAGTGTCCGAATGTTGATCAGGTGACTATGGGGATGCTACAACGGTCGTGTGAAAAACGTTGGTAAGCCAACAAGGATGACCCTGTAAAGTCCACACCCTTGTTTCATCTATAAATCTGGACAGAAAAATCTCAGTCGATGCATAAAGTACAGAAGTTAGAAATGTACCTGCTAGTAGTTGCTTCCTTTCCACCACTATACAATCTGGTTTTTTCATGATCACAGAACTGGAAAAAGGAAAAGGAAAAAAAAAACAGTGAGAATGTCTCTCTCCAAAGAGGAAAGGCAAAAGAAACCTGTAGTCATTGTTAAATGGGCATCTTTTGATTTTAGAATATTGTTCGGAAGTCATTAGCAATATCCAGGACTTTGCTGGGACAATTCACCAATGTTTTTCCCAGGAGAAAACACATAAAAGGTGAGGTGCTACTACTGCAGAAATACACAACAAGCCTCTTGTGACCTAGAAATTATGCCTGTATAATGTTTGTATAACAGAGACCAAGTACAGATAGTCCTTGACTTATAACAGTTCAATCAGTGACTGTTCAAAGTGAGAATGGTGCTGAAGAAAAAGTGACTTATGACTGTTTCCCCCACTTATGACTGTTGCAGCATCCCCATGGTCGCATGGCCAAAAGTTGGCTCGTATTTACGACAGCTGCAGAGTCCCAGGGTCACAGGATCCCATTTTGAGACCTTCTGACAAGATTCACTTAACAACCTTCTTACTAGCTTAACAACTGCAGGGATCCACTTAACAACTGTGGTAAGGAAGGTCATAAACAGGGGCAAATTTTTTAAAAAAACTATCTTGCTTAGCAGTGGAAATTCGGGGGCTCAATTGTGGTCATAAGTCAAGGATTATCTATAATCGGAAAGGCTCAGTTAAAAAGCTCAGGTTAATAGATCACTTTCTTTATAACAAATTTTGTCACGGTCCAGTCTTATCCCAATCAGCCAATCTATAACCAAACAGACAACTGAAAAAGAGTCATGATCCGAAAAAAATAAAATCTAGCTACCTATCGACCTGTAATATTTTAAATTACAGCAAAGAATATGGGAAGATCAAATTTAAGCCATGTTCATATGTTCTGAAATAGTTTGGTTGGGGAGACGGTGGTGGTTTGCCATGTTGGTCTCTAAAAAAGAATAACACAGCTTCCCAACAGACTGGCAAGTCAGGAGAGAAAAGTGTTTTGAACTCCAAATAAAAACTTCCTTTGGCCGATTACACAATTTGACAGTATCTGATCCCAGGTCTGTTTGTTTATTCTACTCCCAATTTGCAAACACAGTTTAGATGCAGTCACTTGCTATTCTGTTGCTAATACAAGGTGCATCTGTAAAGGTAGCTTTAAAAAAACAAAAAAACAGCAAGTATCCTTCTTTGTAAATTTTATACAAAACAGGAAGATATGGTTCAACAAACCACATAAGGGCCCAGCAGCCGAACTCAGATACACACAAAGACTGGAAGAGGACGCCAATTGTAGTTAACATTAATCTTGGTTAGGAGGGAGTGAGAGAGCAGGAGAGAGAGAGAGAGAGAGATAACAGGGCCAATTCCTGCCAACTTGATCACATGGCAGACATCTAAAAACAGGTCAAGGCTTTTAAAATTAACAATATTACTGTCCATCACTTAAAATGAGATTTTTCCAGGGCTGACCGATGGTAGGATTGGGTTGGTTCAGACATAATGTAAGACGAAAGAATAACATAAATGGAAATTTATTCAAGAGATTGGATCGCCATCTGTCAGAAATGGTGTCGGGTCTCCCGCTTGGGCAGGGGGTTGGACTAGATGACCTACAAGGTCCCTTCCAACTCTAATTATCTGTTATCTGTTAAATTATTCCATTTCAAAACAACAATTTTGACTGAATTAGGACCAAAAAAAAAGTTGGTACTCTTGAGGGGGGCTTAAGAATTTAGAGAGCTTTGTAAGCTTAAGGCCTCAGCTTAGAGCAGGGGTGGCAAACGCCAAGGTCCAGGGGCTGGAGGCAGCCGGTGAGGTGCTTAGATCTGGCCTGCAGGGCTGAAGGACCGGCCCACGGTGCCCCTGCCAGTGAAAACGGAGCTTGGGAGGGCCGCCCGTGGCCCTTGCGGAGCTCCATTTTCGCTGTCAGAGGGTTGCAGGAAGCCGTTGCAACCGAAAATGGAGCTTGGGAGCCCATTTGCACTGGCTGAGCACCCCCGACACACACACACACACACACAAGGTCAAACACAACCCCAATGCGGCCCTCAAACAAATCAAGTTTGACACCCCTAGTCTAGAGGTTTTCCTTCTCACATCCAAATCAGACGTGCATACAAAGTGTAGATTAACTAGAACATTTCACCTAGAAGCAGCGGCATGCTCTAAAGAAAGAATTCAAATGAAAACTAAAATGGTCTTTTAAAAAAGAAAAAAGCCTCCATGAAGCTACCTCTCCTGGATCAACCAACCTGATCGTTTTTCAAAAGAAAGAGGATGTGGTGTGTGTTTTTCCTTGTAAAGAAAGAAAGAAAAGCTCCTATATTAATCAACTGAAGTTCTATTTAGGCAAACCAAAGTTTCTTTTAAATAAATACCAGAGAAAACAACACTGGGGCAGGGAGAAATCAAAAGTTGGAAAGGATCAATTAGGCCACCAAATTAAAGCAATCCTGATGGATATCTATCCATAGCTGGAAAGAAGAAATGTGGAAAAGCCCCATTCTTGGACTTTTGGTGGCTTAAATGTGGCTATTAATGCCTTAAATCGAGAAAACATTTGAATAACCAGTCTTCCGGGGGGGGGGGGGGGGATAGCATATAATCAAAGGGTGGAATTAATTTATTAAGCCTAGCTAGCCCAATCTTCAGTTTTAGGGTGAAAGAGGTCCTCTTTAAGTCTTTCTTTCCTATTCACACACATCCAAAAAAGATGCAAAAAAGACGAGTGAAACAACTAGTAGGGCCGTGTGTATTTAGCTATGGCTTTTTAATGACACACGGATCTCTTTAGCTCACCTCCTGCATTCTGCCAAAAAAAAAAAAAACATTACCCAAATCATTTTACCTACTTATTCTGCAATAGCTGCAGGACACCAGCATGTGACAAGCCTGAAGCTCAGATCTTCACAAAGACAAACCCACAAAGCTCCATTTTGAATGTATTGCATTAAAAAAAAATCCTTTATATGCAATAAAACCCAATAAACACCCTTTTCTCCCCCTTCCTTCCTGCCCAACCTTGATTGCAAACCTCTTCTCCCCACTTCAAGTTAAAAGAAAGGGGTCTTACAAATACCCTTTGGTACCCCCCCCTTCAAAGGGGAATCGTTCTGCCATTCATTGGGAGGGGGGGGCTTTCCTTCCCCAGGTTCTGCATTCCTCCCAGACTCCTCCTCCTTTGAACCTCAGCCCCAAACCTGACCTTTGGCCCCTCCCTATTTTCACCCAGCTCATCCCAAATCTACTTCTCAGGATTTGTCTCTTTCTCTCTTTTAAAATATAATCTGGTACCCCCTCCCCTGCACTCAACTCATTCAGATGCCTAAAAATGCAGGCTTCGAGAGAACCCCCTCTCCTGACTTGGACTACACCCCCACCCGTGATTGCCCGTTTAAGGAAAAAGGGGTTCAATCCTTCCCCCCACCAACCAGATTTAACAGATAAGAGTTGGGAGGGACCTTGTAGGTCTAGTCCAACCCCGCCCCCCCCAAAGCGGGAGACCCTACACCATTTCTGACAAACGGCAGTCCAATCCAACCCCTTGGATTACATACATTATTCAGCACACAGTCTGCACACCATTCTATTAATGCCACCACCGATCCCATATGTTTATCATTAACTCTGCACATAATTGTATTACTCCTAACTAGTGACCCTATATATTTATCACAATGTATAGAATATAAATGTGCGTGTATGTATATGTGTGTGTGTGTGTGTGTGTATGCCACTCAGCCCTTCTACATATAATTCTATTAATGTAGTGAGTGATCCTATATAATATATATCATAACGTATATACATAATTGAACATATGTATCATATCTATATCTATCTATTTACCCACCCCTTTCATTAACTAAATATAATTCTATTAGGGTAACAAGATCCTATATGTTTATTATAATGTATATAAATGTATACATATCTATCTAATCTATCTATCTTATCTATCTTATCTATCTTTATCTATTTATACACACACAATTTGTCTACCTATCATATCTATTTACCCATCCATCTATATCTATAGATATATCTATATCTAATTATATTATCTTGCACCCTAGATAATATAATGAATATAAATGCATGCAAGAATTATATCATATCTATAGATACATTTACATTATGTTATTAGATACATTATCTAGGGTCCCTCCTTGTTACCTTAATTGAATTATATGCAGAATTAACTGAGGTGGGGGGGGAGGACTGGCCCAGCCCAAAGGACCCATAAAATAGATATACATTCAAAAGGAATCCCACCCACCCCCACCCCAAAAAGACCCAGCGAGGCCTTTCCTGCAAGGGAGCCCCTTCCACCACGACCCTGGGGAGGAGAAGGCCCGGCCGAGCAGCGACCCCGCCCCCCGCATCTCCCCTCAAAGCAGCGTCCCTGCTGAGGCGGGGGTCCCTCAGCCCCGCAGGGAGCAGCCCCCTCCACTCCCCCCCGCAGCCGCCCTGCCCCACAGCTCCCCAGCCGAGCCGCCCGGGCCCTTCTCCCGGGTTTCTCCGCCGCGCGAGGGCCTTTCCCCGGCCGCGAGGACTCACCCCTTCCTCTTCCTTCTCCTCCGCCCCTCGGCTGTTTACCGCTCCAGCCTCTCCTCACCCACAGGGCGCCGCCATCTTGGCCCTGCCACCCTCCGGGAGCCGCGCACAGATCCCTCCGTGGCCGCTCCGCCCCACTCGGGTAAAAAAAAAATAGTCCCCCCCCCCCCACCTCCAAGCCGCCGCCACCCTCACCCCTAGCCGCGACTCCCAGCCCAACAGGCACGGGGGGGGTGGGCGTCTCCTCACCCTTCCGCGTCCGCTTCTCCCGGCGCCCGAGGAAACGGCTTCGGCGGCCGCCCCCGCACTGAACAGACGCGGAAGGATCAGGCGGAGAAAGAGAAAAGAGTCTCTCGTGATGCCGAGGGAGGAGGAGGAGGAGGAGGAGGCCGAGAAGAAGTAGTCCCGGCAGGGAGAAGGAGGCGGGGGCAGGTCACGTGACGGGACGGAGAGGCTGGCGAGGGCGCTTGCGGGCTGGTAAACAAGGGGCGGGGCGAAAGGAATTCCGAGCCACGTCCCCCTGGTTGCTCGTGGCAACCGGGGCTCCAGCCTGCTGGGGTGATTTTCTTTTTTTATTTTATTTTAAGCGTTCTTTGGGGAACTACTCCAACCTCCATCAGCCACAACCCCTGGCCCTTGGGGAACAGTGCAAGGAAAAAGGACCCATGCAACTTTTCTCTTCCTTTGCACAAAGGACCGTTCCATGCCCCTCTTTCCACGCCCCTCCCCATGCATTCTCCCTGGTTCTGAGTTCAAATCCAGAATCTCATCAGACTTCTCCCCCTCGCACACGTTGGAAAATAGGGTGCAAATCTCAGATGGCCACAAGGGGGCAACAGCGCTTCGTTTGTCTCTCTTTGCTTCCCCCTAGAGGTCATTTGAATTGAAGCTGGGCTGGTTTGACTTCCCAGAATTCCCCAGACAGCAGCCCCCCCCTCTCAAAAGTTGGCCAGGATCCAGATATATTAAGTATATCTGTGAAATCGAGAGTAGAGAATTAATATAATGAATAAGGCTGTAAACTCCTTAATTGTTATTGCACAAGGTATTTTTACCCAGATGACACACGTTTTAATGAAAGATGGATTGTTTTGTATTCAAAATAAAATAAAATAATTAGTGGCCAAAAAAAAAAAGTTGGCCAGGATTGAGAAACAATGATTTAGGGGATTTTATGCATGTTATGTGGTCAGGCTGATCACATTTTTGACCCCTTGTCAATCAGCTTACAGTTGTAAAGACAGGGACTTTTTCAATATTAAATATTTTTTATTTTATTTTACAACAAATCCATCTTTCAGTTATACAGTGTGTCGACTGGGTACATATATCTTGTGCAAATATTTAGATTTAGCATACACTTATTACTATGATTACATTCATATTAAAACTACTCAACCTTAAGTATCTCATTATTATTACCTTTATTGTCAGAGTACAACATGTGTACAATGAGATTGGCTCACCTCTTCCTCTATCGAAGCAAATACAATTCTAACTGCTATTAATATGTGTATGATTAAATATGTTTTTTCTTTACTATAATTTTCGGGTAAAATCCCTAATAAAGATATTTCAGGTTTTGAGTCTGCGTGTTGTTTTATCATCTTTTCCAACCAGGTGCGCATTTCTGTCCAATATCAGGGATTTGTCATAAGTCGCTTTCTAAATTTTCATTGTAATGACAGGCCAGTGGCCGAGGGTCCGGATTTTGATCACGTGTTCTGCTTTCGCGAACTTCTGGCAAGCAAAATTAAGATTCACTTAACAACGGCGGCAACAAGGCTCCGTACCACCTTTATGCGGCTTTAACGAGAGTGCCCCCTCCTTTAATAGAAATGGGCAGTTTAGAAACACGAAAAATATAAATAAATCCTCTGAAATGTTATATGGTATTTCAGATAGGCATATTTGAAATGGTGTAGGTATTTCAGAACCATCTAAAACAGTATAAAGTTTCAAGTGGGTGGGGTCGGACTAGAAGACCTCAAAGGTCCCTTCCAATTCTATATGGTTCTATGGTAAATAAAGGTAAATAAATAAAATACGTTTTATTCATTCTTGCATCTCATAGCTAGGTCAACAGCGAGGGGTCGCTTTGCCAGCAACCAGCAACATTGGGTTTTTCCAGCATTTTGCAAATTGTGGGTATGATTGTTTTCCTTTCTAAAAAGAAAAAAAAGAAAGAAAAAGGAAATTTTGCAGGAAAAAAAAAAACCAGTAATCTCGAAAAAACACTCCACCAAAACAAGCCAAGCACCGAATAATCTGCGGAAGGCGCGACCACTAACTTCTGGCTTTCTGCAATTGAGCAATGCAAAAATGTTCGAAGTCTGGCTTGCTTTGATAAGCAAATGCTCGCTGGCCTTAGCCTCTCTTATTGGCTGGGGCCAGATTTTGACACGAATAATCTGATTGAAAAATCAGGGAGGGGATTGCAGGGCCCAGTGGGGAGAGGGAGAGGGAGAGCAACCAAGGGTGAAGTACACGGAGGAAGGGATCAACCCTTGGTAGATAACAGGAGTGTGGAAAACCTAGACACGCACACACACACGCCAGCCAAGGGAGCCCTCGACCATCACACTGCTCCCTGGGAAGCAACTTTCAAGGCTAAACTTCTACAACCATCCTCCAAGCAGGTGATTTCCCTTCCCCAAAGCAGTTTTTTTTAAAAAAAAATATTAAAATTTCCTGCATTTTCCTCTTCTTGCAAATGATGATCAGTTAGGAAACTAACCACGCAGGAATAATTTGTGCAATTAGGCAATGGGGTTTTTATTTTTTCTGGATAGTTTAATCTCTCTCTCTCTCTCTCTCTCTCTCTCTCTCTCTCTCTCGTCTTTCTCTTTCTCTCTCACATTGTCTCTTTCACATTCTCCCTCTCTCTGTACCTCATTCTTTCTCTCTCACACACAATCTCTCTCTCTCTCATTCTTTCTCTCCCTCCAATTAAAAAAAAAGTTTTTAAGAAGGTCCACCAGCATATCCCTTGCAAGAAGATTGTGTTAAGGTAAAAGTCAGCCGCTGGAGAATTAGGAAGGTACCTGTGTCCTAGGTAGGAATTCTTTGGATGCTTCCGTCAATTAATGTCCCTGATTTGGGTGGAGATGGGAAGCAAATTAATTTTAATTATTCTGTAAATTGCTTTGGGAAGGAGGAACAGAAGATGGGGGAAAATGCTTTGAACGAACAAATGAATTAAGGCATATCGTACCATTGATAGCTTGGCTAACATCGGCCGATCACTGGAAAGAAAGAATTGGACGAAGGTGTCTAAGCGTATGTAGCTAAGAAAGCTGGCTTGTAAATTAATTTTGGATTTTTAAAAAAAGCCTTAAATCTGGTATCATAGGCCAGGAACTGCAAAAATTTGCAATTATTAAGAGATAGCTAAAGAGTCACGTTTTCATAGCATACCCGGATTTCTGCAGCTCAAAATCTGAGAGCTTTAAATTAATATTTCTGGTTTAAATTTTTCTGAGAGAGAGAGAGAGAGAGACATCTTTTAGGGGTTTATTTATTATGATTTACATCAATAGTTTATTTACACTTATAGTGTGTTTTTAAAAGCATGTCCAACTGCCAAGAGTTACTTTTGCTACGTCTAACAGTTGCACTGAGCCAGTTTTGCAGTTAATTTTGCTATATCCAACTGTTGCATTAATGCTAGAACCTAGGTTTAAGTTTAATTTATTTTATTATTGATTCTTGGTTTGCTTTAATGGTTTAGCATAAAATATGGAACTCTAGACCTGTTTGGTTCATTAATGGGTACGAATCCAAAGAAGCGAATTTAATAAGAAAATGTATTTCTCCTAAATATATATAACAGAAGGGTTTGTGAAAGATGTTTTTAAAGTGTGTTTGTGCAAGGTAGTTGAAATCTGATAAATGTTGCCACTTTGGGTGGGGTTAATTTTAGGTTTTTTTTGCATCTTCTTATTACTGGTTTCTGCATTCTTTGCATGTCAACCTGGATGAAAAATTCTTGAAGTGTTGATTAGGAATAAATGGGATAGTGCAAAAATTAAAAAAAATATCTTAGGGCATTGTTACCGCAAGGAGCCCAAAATGCAGAAGTGAAAATCAAAACTATTGCAAAGATCAAGTTTGGTTAATAAAATATAACAAATGAATGAATGAAGAGTGAAGAAAGAGGGAGGGTATCTGCTTTAAGAGATTTTAATAATATTTGGACTAAGATTGAATGAGTGAAGGCCATGCGCTAAATAAATAAATATGAGTTAAAGAGAAGAACAATCAACATCCAGTGTTATAGAAACAAACCTCTTTACCAGTTGAGTAAAAGTGAAATTTGAAAGAACCAGCAACCGATTGCTTATTTGCACCAAACTGCACTCACGTGTTGCAAATGTTGGGTTTATATGCAAGTATTTGGTAATATCTTGGTGTTGCGTGAAGGCAGTTTTGCACAAACTCAGGCGGTGGCTTTAACTGCACAGAATTTATACCCTTTGCAAAATTGTCTTCTGGAGTTCTTGAATGCAACATCTTGAATTTTCCTAAATTCCAGGAAAATCTCTTGCCTTCCTATCTTAGAAGAGTTAGACTGTCTCCTTAAACCAAGAATGAGGTTGTTTGATTTAAGTCTACCTTGTTATGCTAATGTTCCCCACTGCTTGCTTAACTGTTTAATTAAATTAAACGTGGTTTGAACTTGAGAGAAAACATTTCATTGCATGCACACAAAGCAGGGAGAATAACTAACCAAAAACTTTTATGTGTTTCAATTTAAAGAGAGATGTATTTAGACCAAATCGTTCTTACTCCTAAGTAAATCTAAATAAGAATGCAATTTCATCAGCTGAAGTTTCATTGCCAAACTAGATAACATCATCAGTGCTAGAAGGGAGTGGGGTTTGTGGAGTGAAGGAAGAGGAGGATTGTGGGGTCTCTGGTGATCTCTGAGCTTGGTGGTTTTCTTGCCGACAGTTCATTACCAAATGCACTGATGATGTTACCTAGTTTGGTAATGAAACATCTGCAAGAATACCACCAATCTCCCTCTTACATTTTCCTAGCTAACTTTCTCACTTCACTGGTTGGCAAAACTCAGCTGGCCTATTTCAAGATTGGCCAATAG